AGAAAACTAAGAATATTAGAAGTAGCTATTTCATAAACACATTAAAAAACAAAGTATTCAGTAGATAACATAGCTTATTTGCTTTACTTTTTTTTTCCTTATTTGCTTAAGGAAAAAATTCCAATTAAGGGCAACTCAAACAATTGAATACACCTTCTTTTTCTAAGATAGTAGTACTTCCCTTAAATCAGCATATTTAATGTTTATAAACATTTTTTCTATGATCTAGGACACCATTATCTAAACACTTTATCTATGTTGATAGTTCATAATCAGGAAACATTATATACCAGTTGTCTCCTAGAAGTTTTTCTTCCTTATTGTTTTCTGATTACCTTCATTTGTGGGTATAATTTGTCACTCATTCACATTTTATTTTTGTTTCCTTAAAAATCATTTAATATGTGGCTTGGGTGGTGACTCAGTGGTATAGCACTTGCCTAGAATGCATGAGGCCCTGGGTTCGATCCCCAGCACCACATAAAACGAAATAAACAAAATAAAGCATTGTGTCCATCTACAACTAAACATATTTTAAAAAACATTTAATATATGTCCCTTTTTGTGGTGATGGATATCAACATTTCATAAAATGGCTTAGTTAAATGCATATCTGACATCTATTAACACAAAAGTGACTTTAGTGTATGGTGCACCTATCAGTGAATACAAAATACTAAAGTATTGAAATATTTTATACAGGCTTATTTTTATCAACCCATTTCAGTCCCTGTAAAGTATATCAGGTGGAAGACATATCCTTGTTTTTCCCCTTTATTCTGTGGTCAATAAGGGCCTGTTCACACAGACAAGTGGTTTCTGAAAGCTTCACCCAACTTTTAAAAGTGGAGGTCTTTAGTGGCAGTGAAGATCACAAAGTGCATTTTGAGTCCCAACCTTATGACGGGTTTATGCATTTTTGGCCAGTTCTTCCTGATACATGGTTTGCAATTCTCTCACTTCAACTACTCTTCTGTTTATTGTTTTATCTGATCAGAGTATTACTTTAAAAGAAAAAAGGTAAACAAAATACAGGAACTATGAAAATGTGCTGACAGCTTCTTCATCTGTACAACAGGGATAATAATTACCTACCTTAGAGGCTCATTGAAAACAAATATTTTATTTAATTCTTTTAATTTGCATAGAGTCTTGGTCCTCAGCCTCATTTATCATCATATCTACCTTTGGGTATCTATAAATGCCCAGATATCTGGCCACAAAAGTGAACATATTCAATCAGAGTATCTGCGTGGTGAAGTTCTTGATGGTCATTTCTTCTTCTTCTCCTTCTTATTCTCCTCCTCCTCCTCCTCCTGGGGGTGGGGGGAGCCAGGGATTGAACTCAGGGGCATTTGACCACTGAACCACATCTCGAGCCCTATTTTGTATTTTATTTAAAGACAGGATATCACTGTTTGCTTAGGGCCTCACTTTTTGCTGAGGCTGGCTTTGAATTTTCAATCCTTCTGCCTCAACTTCCTAAGCTGCTGGGATTACAGGTGTGCGCCACCACACCCAGCTCCCGATGGTCCTTTCTTACACCAGAGTTAACAACATCTGCCTTTGAGTATTCCCTGGCATTAAAACAACGGTCCATTAATATTAGTCACCACTGATAATACTACTACTCGCAAGAACATATAAAACTTTAATATTTGCATAAACCTCCTACTTTGTGAAGATGTGAATTATCCTCTAGACATTTGAGTTCTTGGTATTTCTTCATGGTTCCATTCTCTTGTATACCTGTCCCCCAGAAACAACCACCATCATGAATTTGGTTCATTTATTTTCTCTCAATGTTACCATACAAGTATTGGTTTAGGTATCTATGGACATTTTTCTTTCAAACTTACCTTACAGTTTCTAAAGTTCATCTAAGTAGTAACACCTATTGTCCCTCAAATACAGTAGTGTCCATTGACATGTGGTTTTATATCACCTTGTGTAATACATACATTGACCTCAAAAGCTTTGTATTTTACACATCATTACCCAGGGAAAGGACATCATTTAGTATGTCAGTTTATTGTGACAAAAATCCTTTTAAACTTCCTGTGACTCTGTTTGTATAACACAAGTTAGAATTCGTATGTGTCATATTTATGGGAGATAGTTGTTTGACTTCCAATAATTGATGCGTGTTCAATTTTAATATTAATTATCTACATTTGATACTCTGACCAAATCAGTTATTATCAATTACATCATTGTATTCTTCAGTTATACTATCAAAAATATCCCTGCATTCTGTTTTGTGATAATCCTTCCACAAGAACTCATGAAGACATTTCATAATGCATTGGGAATAATATTTCCATTTTTCACTAGTAGAGGAGATAGGAGCCTGGAGCACAAGTTAGAAAATGAAAATTTTAGTTCTGGATCTTGGAGTTGCCACTGTATACAGAATGTGTGTAAAATATCTGTAAAATTCCACAAGCTAGGCAAGCACTCTACAACTGAGCTAAAACCCCAACCCTCTGATATTTTTTACACTTCCTTTATGCCATGCAAGGTAGAATAGAGAATCAGAGGTGTAGAGAGCTAATCATTCTTGTCCAAATATCTGGCATATGATTATCAAATATAAATTTTGTCTCAAAACAGAAACTGGAGAAAATTGGCGAATGATAACTTTAGGCAACAGTGTACTTTGGTTGAGTGGTAGAAAGATTACCCTTATAATTAATAATTAGTATAAATAATATCTAAATTTTATTTTGCATTATTTAATAATTTACTAATAGTATTCATCACATATTAATCACATGGGAGCATCCATTATCTCTTTATAAGTAATTCAATGCAGTTGCATCACCAGTAGATCAACTCAGATGACAACGTTGTCTCAGAAATACTAACAATCTTCCCCTCTGAGAAGAAATTACAAATTCAATAGATAGTGATCAAAATTAAACAATCAAGGGGAAGACAGAGCCCTCATAGAATGGGAGAAAAATCTTTGTCATCTTCTCTTTTGACAGAACATTAATATCCAGAATACATAAATAACTCAAAAATTTAACATCCAAATTTCTCAAATATCCCAATAAATAAATGGACAAATGCATTAAATACACATTTCTAAAAACAAAAAACAAATACAGATGGCCAACAAATATGTGAAAAAAAAAATGCTCCACATCCTTAGTAATCAGGGAAATGCCAATAAAAACTACATTGGGATTTCACCTCCCTCTAGTTAGAATAGTAATCGTCAAGGGCACAAATAATAACTAAGGCTGGAGAGAAGGCAGGTTAGAATGTCCACTGTGGAAAGCAGCATGGAGATTTCCCAAAAGAGTAGGATTAGAAATACTGTGTAACCCAGCAATCCCATTCCTTGGTATTTACACAAAAGAACTAAAATTAGCGTACGATAGGGACACAGGCACATCAGTGTTGGTACTAGTGAGATTTGCAATGGCCACGTTATGGAACCAGACAGGGTGTCTAACAATAGATGAACGGAAAAAGAAAGTGTGGTAAATACACACAATGGAGGTTTTTTCAGTCATAAAAATGAAAGAAATTATGTAATTTGATGTAAAGGTGTGAAACAAGAACTTCATGCTACATGAAATAAGAGACTCGAAAACCAAGAATCAAATATCTTTTCTCATATGTGGAAGCTGGAGAAAAAATAAATAAATAAAAATGGGCCTCAGGAAAACAGAAGGGAGAACAGTGGAGGTAGGGGAGGAAGGAGGGAAAGCAGAATCCTGAGGAATGAAACTGATCTAACGATGCTAAGAGCATGTACAAATGAACTCCAGTGAATCCCACTTTGGGGTAGAATTAAAAGGCACCAATTAAAAAAAATAGTAATAAGTTCATTAAAGTAAAGAAATAGAATCAGGGGGAAGGAGAAGGAAAGAGATGGGAGAGGTCTCGGGAAAAGAAATGGACCAAATTTTGTTTTGCACATGCATGAATAGTCCCAGACTATTCCAGTATTATGCATAACTATAATAATAGTTATAGTATAACCATAATAATGCAAAAAAATTCAGCAGTCATTGTCTGCGTGTGATGCAGTAATCTTGTCCCTTATTTCCCAATTATCAGAAAGTTTCAAGCAGAGGTCCAAGACCCTGACCACCAGTACATCTGGAGAACCCTTTAAAACTCTCCAGTTTCTTGTGTAGGAATGAAACCAAGAGGTGGCATTGACTCCTTTGAGACCGAGTGGGCCAGCAGCAAGGAGGATAGAGAGGGCTTCAGAGTGTCCTGCAGTGGGGAGAGGTCTGTGTTGAATTTTATGTGCCCCTGTTTCCTGTGATCTCTGCCCTTGATCTATTCTTCCCATGTTGGATGTTGCTTTTATGTCAACTGCTCTCTCTTTGATCTACCAGGAACACCCACAATGAAAAGCAGAGTGAGCAAAGGGTCACTTCTGGAGTGACAGGAGTGGAAATGGCAGATTAGGTTGTCAAGGAAACAGCCTGCTGGGGTTCCTCGGCCCAGAAGCCTGGTGTCCATATTTAGACCACCTCAGTCAAACAGATTTACTCATCTCTGCCTAACAACCTGGC